TTGGAGGGGCATCCAGGAAAAACTATGTTACACGCAGTGTTGGGCCCACTGTTTCGTTCTTTTCACTGCCAGCTGCTTATCTGCACAGGTAAGTGAACTTTGTGCGGCTGTCACGATCCTGTCCTGAGCTTGTCTGTGTTACATTATTTTAGCCATGCCTTCTGTGATTTGATTTTGTTTCCTCTGTGTCTGGGTTTTGGGTTTCAGTCCTGTCTGTGTGTCTTGTTGGGGAGTCTGGGTTTTTGTTCCATGCCTTTGTTCCTAGTCCTGTGCCTTAGTTCATGTCTTAGTATTTGCTTCTAGTTCTTTCTCTGCATCATTTTGGTTTAGTCTGCTCGGTGCTCTGTGTTCTAGTTCTGGGTTCTCGTTTAGGTTTTGTCTGTTATGATGCCTGTGTTATAGTTGGTCAGTGTTTGTCTGTTTACATGGGTTTCTGTTATTGTCTGAGTTAGATTCTTGTCTGGTATTTTGTAAGATGTGTTCTGTCTGTGTTGGTTATTAATTTTGCCCCATGTCTGCCTGTCAAGTTTCTGTTCCCCGTCTGTTCCCCCAGTTATCACTCTGCCTGCCTGCCTCTCTGTTACCTCCAGTAATCTGCCTGCCATCCAGTCTCTCTGTTTTCCCTGCTGTCTCTCTCTCTCTGCCTGCCTTGTTAGCCTCATGTCCCTCGCCTGTGTCCTGCTCGTTAGTCCCTGTGTGTATATATACCTAGTGTTTCTGTTTAGTCCTTGTCCGGTCATTGTCACATGTCGCATCCCACAGTGTCATGCGTTTGGGCTCACTTCTGCCTTCTACCCACCGATCCTGACAGCTGCTTGTCAGCTAGCCAGTACAGCTAACCTGTATCTGCTCATCGGTGTGTCCGTTCACCACATCGTCCACTGGGATGAAAGCTTCCTCTTTTGAAGTGAGAAATTGTACAGTAATGTCTAATGTAATTTTCTTATTTTAAATGGATTCTTAAAGAATTGGGGAAAAAAACAGTATTGTTCAGGAACCAGTACCGAACATTTTTTAATGATAATTTAAAGGCTTTTAGACTTCAGCGCTTGTAAATTGGGGTTTTATACGAGTAAAATACTGGGGGGAAAAAACAATGGTAAACAATGTGCCGATGTCTACACCTTTTAGCCAACTATCTTGTGTAAAGCTTTGGAAATGGAATAAAAACAATCGTAATACATGTTGTTGCTCTTACTTAAACCCCGGATACGTCTTTTGACTAGCTTCAGAAATAGTGCCGAAACACTTTAAAAGTCCCTTAATCGGTGAGTCGATTAACAGAAACTTAATTGCCAAAGTTGAAATTGTAAAAATACAAAACAATATCAAGTTTCAAGTCCTCAAATGTGAGGATTTGCTGCGTTTCTTTGTTTTTCTATCATTGTAAACTGAATGTAACTTTGGGCTCTTGCACATGGTGACGTGCATTTTTCACTGTTTTTCACCCTTTTAATAAATTTGACTGAAATATCGAAAATAATCCATAATGAAAACGGTTGTTAGTTGGGATGCTATTTCAAAGTATTTTATCATTTCAAATATGTATATTATATATGTAAGTACCATAGACTGTATAAAACATGTACGTAGTCTCCATGACGTCACCCATTAGTATCTGAAAGAGCAGTGGCGAAGCTCAGTGTGGGAGGATCCAGCTCTTCTCATCTTGACAGTACCTGACTGGCTGGGTGAATGAAGCCGGGTTGCTGAACCACCTAGCGGCTGGGCACCTGTCAATCAAATATGCATGACCATAAGCATTAATATAATTTCAATGGGTGATTATATAAAAATTCACAGTTGTCATGAAAGGGGAAATTAGCAATAGACACCCAAACCGTAATTTGTACCAGGCAGTAAAGATGATTATTACTGCTTTTAAGTTGTTGTAAAAAAGTTGGAAAGCTTGTTTCTGCTTGGTAGGGACTTGGCAGCTGACTGATAATGATAATAATGCATTGTGGGTAAGTTAAAAACAGTTAAAAACAGTGCATATTCTGGTGTACATACCAGTTAAGGATACAATCATCAGTGGGGGCAGCGGTTTGCCCACCTTTCAGTGTGTTATAATAACATTTTTAATGGCATGAGCTTTTGCAATATGTTTCCACTTCTTTCATACTATACAGAAGTGTTGGAACATGGCCGAGACAGTTATTTGGAGTTTTAAGTAGTGCTATTTTGAACTGTCAAAAACAAATGCTCCAGACTTTAAATCAATTGTTACATCTAAGTAAAAATTCCTTCTTTGGTTCAGCACTCTGCAGGGACCAAACTGAACACCTTTTAAAGCAGCCACTCAGCCTTTCAGAAAATCTTTCTCCAAAAACTGTAGGATAACACAGTAACAGCAAATGAAAATGCTTTTACCTTATGGCCACACTTAGCATGACCCTCACATCATCTGCAGTTGAGCGTGACGTCAGGGAAAGTTAAAAGCACTCCAGCTAACAGGCAGTCTCTGTGCTTGTATACTCACACCCACATACACACCGTTGATGCATTAGAAGAGATTGTGTGAGACTTTGTCAGAGAAGAGACAGCTGGTTTTCAACAGAAAAACGCGTCATCATGTTTGCAGTTACTTGGTAGGTAGGTTTATTGTCACAATCTAACAAGTTATAGATATATCAATATCAATGCTGACCGCAACATACTATATATTATTTAAAATGAGCAAAATCATGCACATATTTCCACTCAGCACCTCCGCTCACTCGCTCCTTCTCTCTCTCTCACAAACACATTGAAATGGAGCCGTGTGTTTATAGAAAATCTAAAGCATTGAAGTTAACTCTGAAAAGTTAGTCTATCTATTTTCTTAACACAGCGCTGTCAATGTCGGAGACGGATATGTTAACGTTAGAATTTATCTTTGGTGTCGAGGTTCACTTCCTGTTGCATATTCACAGTTACAGGTGTCATATTTCTAACATAATGAATGCAGTGTGCACTGGCCCACTGAGTGAAATTCTCTTGGTGACCTTAAAGAACAAAATTAATTTTAAGGGTTTAAGGCATTTAAAAGGTTTCTAGAGGCTTCTGGCTGCAGATTATAAAAAAGGCATCTCCTTCACTTCCAACTCTTTGTTATCAGAAATGTAAGTAGGTCTGAAGTAAAACTATAGATGAACATTAGCAGGGAAAGAATCTCCGATCAGGTGTAACAGTGAAAAGCCATAAAGTTTTAACTGAGCTCTGTCTCTACATGACAGAAACAACTTTATGTCCATTGACTGCCTGGAGGGTAGCTAGTGTTTGGAAGGGGAGGAGAGCTGTGTGCTGCAGCTCACTGTTTTTCCACTTGTGTTTTTGAGTTTTTTGAGTGAGTGAATCAGAATCGGGTTTGAGTTTTAATCATTTTATCATGTTCATATCCTAACTTCTAAATCTTTCATTTGCTTTTATTATATAGTTATTATTATAAAATTATATTACTTTGTTTTTAAAAGGTGCTATATAAATAAAGTTATTATTATTATTACTACACAGCTCTCAGTTACATTTTCTACTGTAGTTTGGCTAACTCACAAAATAAATGTTGATACAGCATATAAAATCTAAAATTGACTTTATGGGGTACACTTTTATGGGGCACAGGGAGTTTAGTGATGGGACATTAAAGGGGTCATTGTAGGGTTGGACGATACGGCCAAAAATGTTATCACGATAAAAGGTTTCATATCTTTTGATATCAATAATTATCACGATAAGTATCAAATCGTTATTTCTTTCGACTTTAAAGGCAGTTTGAAGAAACCTGATGGTTAATTGTGGTTAATTTTTTCTTTATGGGCAACACTTGAGGCCAAACAGTGCATCACTTCACAGATCTGAGGCAGAACGTTCAAAACAATTATGATAAAATCTTTGTCAACAAATATGCACGAGTAAAATTAAGTAAAAGCTTTTTTCAGTCCTTTTTCCACAACAAAATAAACATCTCAAAAAGAAAATGAAGTCCCAATTTGTGTATAATTCTAGAGAATATATCAAACATTTATTGAATATTTATTGAACATTTGTTATATTGTTATTGAAAAAATATATCGCAATAATTATTGTTATTGTTTTATTGTCCAGGCCTAGGTCATTGCAATGGTGTGCTGTTGCTGAGCTAACATAAGATTTTTCATATCAGTGGAAGAAATATGCCATGACACTTTTCTGTGATGTATGTCAGCGTTACTTAATATCAGCAGCGAAGTAGTCTGATGAAAGTATACGTCAACAGAACTGTCTTCTTTTTGAATTTTCCAGCTTTGTCACCTTTTACCTCTTTTCCTACCACTTGATTCCACAGTAAAAGTCTTCTGTATGCTTAGATAGTGTTGTAGTACTCAAGACTGGTCTTGGTCTTGAAACCGGTCTTAAGACCACTTTTTGATGGTCTTGGTCTTGTCTCGGACTCGACCGCATTTGTATTCGGTCTTGTCTCGGTCTCGGACATTGGGGACTCAGGATTTTATTTCATGACCACAACTTTGGCAATATCAATAAATTGCTTTTGCATTGTCTGATTTATTTGTTAACATCCTAACTTTGATTGGATGTAAAATGTATTGCTTTAAATACAACCAATAACCCAAATTAAAAATGTGTTGTTACCGTTAACGACTGTCACCCCTCCCTGCGATGGTAGGTGTGGAAAGGAGTGTTGAATAAAGATGCTTACGTTGATTTCAGCTCTTACTGTTTGTATGTGGGTGTTTTAATGGGAATGTGGATCTTTCAGATCAATTTGAGAAGTACCGATGATCTCATTCCACATTTTATTGTGTGCCATGTAATGTGGGGAACTGGTCTCGCCATCCCTCGGTCTTGGTCTTGACTTGGTCTCGATAAACTCTGGTCTTGGTCTTGACTTGGTCTCGGTTTGGGAGGTCTTGACTACAACACTATGCTTAGAAGCACTACTAATCACAACTAGTGCATATACAGTAGTACACTGGTTAAGTAAAGGTGGTTGTAATTTGGTTGTTTGTTTTTTTCTGCAGTATGACCGTGGCGATGAAAGCCCAGGGCAGGTGGGAGGTGATGGATAGGACAGATGTCTTCTACGCTGGCGTAGCTCTCATGGTGCTGGGCACTGTGCTGGTAGTCAGCAGCTTCCTGTCTCTGGGATTCATTGGAACCTTCCTAGGTGGGTGTCAAACACAGTGTTAAATATAAAAGGGGCAGTCCACTAAATGTAATGTCATGGTAAATTTTCCAGTCATAGGAATTAGTACTCCAACGTTATACTCTGTTAAAACAGATACAGTATAATGACATCACTAGAGTAGAGTTGTTCTTTTAACCAAAAACTTTAATCACAAACTGGGGGGCGGGATGTTTGGAAGACTTGGGAATTTACCAGGCAGGGAGCATCTAACAAAAGAGAATCATTGCGAGTTACATTGTGGGAAGTGTAGGATCCAGTGTTTTAGCTATTGTCTGAATTACATCCCTTAAGTTTTTTTTTTTTTACACACTACGTACAGCATGTACTATATACTGTGTACCATGTACTATTTAATAGGGGTGGGAATCGCAGCGTACGATACGATACACGATAACGATAATATCACGACACAGCAATTCTGTGATAATCAATATATCTCTTAAAGTGATACATCACAATATCACTATTAATACAAAAATGCCCATGAAGAAGTTTACTATTTATATACTGCAAATCCAAACTGTTAGAAAACAATTTTTGAATTTTTTTACTGCAAAAACAAATTTCTGTGTACCACCTAAGTCTAATCTGTTCATCACATTATAATAATAACTGTTCAGTGACACAGCATTGTGCTGCCCTTTCTCTTCCTACTGATAGCTATATTTTTAGGCCACTGGGAATATTGGGTTTGAGTTTTGTCCCTTTGGGGTTGCTGAGCTGGTCTGTGTGGAGTGCAGAAGCAGTAGAGTAGCAGATCAAGACAGTGAAGTTATCAGCTCTTTTTTTATTTCACACAGAGCTCAGGAAACATGTACTTTAAGTATTTGCACATTATGTCACTCAGGATGTTCAGCATGTGAAGCAAAATGTGTAGTTTATGTTATGATTGTATTTTCGCAATCGTGATGCTAATGTCCGTTAGCACATTAATGGAGATTCCCCTTATATGTTAGCATTGAGCTAACCGTCAAAGCGCGATTTTTATTAATATTATGCATCGATATGATGGGCTGGAATATCCATACAGTATCATGGAAAAATGTATAATGATGTATTGCTTTATTGATTTATTGTCACACCCTTACTATTTAACATGTATTTATTTGTATTACTATTTAGTAAGGTGACATACATATAGCAAGTAACATACTAAATCAAGTTCCTTGTATGTAGAATAGAAAATCATCAGTCTGACAAGGTCTTTGAAAAAAAAATTAAGTTTAGGGATCACATGGGACTTGAGGAAACATGAAAAGACATGCACACACGTGCTCTATCCTACCGAGGACATACAAGTGCACGTGGAGAATGACACGTGTACAACCGTGCTCATTTCTATGCACGCAAACAAATACTTTCATCTCCTCACATATGGCACACGCACATGTCTTCGCATCTGTCTCTGAGACAGACATGTTTGTTTTCCTTGTGCTGTTGAGTACATCCAGGCATCGATTCAAATGAACGCGAGTACGACATCATCATTATGAGCATTTTGGCAAGCTCTGGTTTCTAGGTCAGTCATTTCACTGAGTCATCTCCAAGATCCAGACTTTGCATCTCAGCTTCTACACCGTCTTTGTCCGTTATTGTGCTGAAATGCCCCAAGTCCATCACTCTCTCGCCAATAATCAGCATGAGCTGCAGGTGGTAAGAGGAGTTGGCAGGAGTGTGTGCGTGTTTATGTGAACAGGAGTCTACTTTGTATGCATATCGAGCAAACAATCACAAGAGACTGTTTCATTCTCCGACGATTTCGAGTAGTTGCGTTAAAGTCTAGGAAACATTGAAAGTTTTTCTTCAAGGACAACAGTGTGACTAATGAGAAGCACCAGAGACCAGGCCCAGCCTATATCAGCCCATAGACAAATTTCCGAGGCACATGGGACCATAGATGGGAAGCTGTAACAGATGACAGAGGTGAAAACCGAGGAGAGAGAAGTTGAGGACAAGTTGTTGCTGCCTGAATTATAAGTGATACAACAAACATGTTCAGTAAACCCAGAGGGACATCAATTTTCAACACAGAGTAGATAATTACATGAATCCAGTGATTTATCAGTTCCATTTTTATTCAGTCTCTACACTTTAAAATCAAGCCCCCAGGAATTGCACCTGGCTTTGAAGCCAGTTTGGCCAAACCATGTAATTACAACCGCTAGATCGTTTCATGTGATGCACACTGGCCCAAAAAAGACTTTTTACCATAAATGTACATTGTGAAAGAGAAGTCTGCAAATCGGTAAAAAAAATGATTGATGTACATTAACAATACTTAAAAAGCCCTTACTTAAATCAACATGTCCTAAAAGTTGTCAAATTCACTATTTGCCGAATAGCCGTTATTTTCCTTTTCCCAGTGTACTAGTTTTTCTACCATATTACAAGGTTTTCATCAGCCGATGGAGTTTTCTCTGTTGTCATAGAGATGGATTTTTCAAAACATGAGCTAAGTAGTATTTAATCCTCGCCACCATCTACCTGCATGTGTTTCCTTTCCAGTTCCTCCCACAAACATATACACACACATACCAGAAGACATAACCTGTGTGTGTGTGTGTGTGTGTGTGTATGTGTGTGTGTGTGTGTGTGTTTTGTGTATTAAGCCCCTTTGGTCACTGTGACCTGGCGATTCAAACTGATGGCACAGGGGCCGAAAAAAAGATCCAAACACAATCAAATTACAGACAGAGTGTTAATGTCTTGGCCAGCTGGCCCAAGATCCAAACTCCGATTTCAACCCACTGATCACAGACCTCTAGTCTACCGCAGTGCTATCACTGCTCTTCAGAAAATCCAGGTTGCCCATTTTCACAACCACAATGAAACAACAGTTATGCAAGAACACAGAAAAATGTTATGCTTGTCTTTCAAACTTGAATATATTGCGGGTAGTCAATCTGGGGGTCAAAAATGAGGTTAGCACATTGTTTGAAGGCCAATTTTCTTTTCAAAACCAAACACATTTGTTTATATAATCTCTTTTTTTTTATTATGCCCTACGTACGTAATAGAAATTGTTGTATAACTTGAGCATTAACAGTCTCTCTTTGACAGGGCAGACAGCACCACAAGTGTAATTCAACAGGTCAGTTCTGCAGAGGCGTAAGCGTGAATTTTTGGCACCGACTGACAACGTTGGTGCTGTAATTTGATTGTTGCAACTGTGTGGATTGGTAAAACAAATAGTTTGCAATACCAATTACATTCCAACAACTACACAATGAACGTTAACCAGCCGTGGAGCCATCGTTGTTAGCCATTGCTTAGTACTATGTGCGGTTTGAGCACTACCTCTTACTCTGTCACTGGGTACAGATGACTGAGTTCACAGGATTACCCGATCCTGTGAGACAGTCTAGTCATTTGCCATCAACACAAGTGGACCCAGGAAGATGAGACGCTAGCTTGAACCCCCTCCTTTAAATCATGTGGGACGAATAGAGTGCGCAGACGCTTGACTGTGGCATTAGATAAATGAAAAGTAATGTCTAGTAGGAAACAGTGCTAATGTTAACAAGCTATCTGGCTTCAACTATGCAAGTGGATGCCAGTTTAACCTAGATGGAACAGCTTAAATAGCAAAAGGTTGATTGTTCATTAGCTTTACAGCAGTGGCTCCCAAAGTGTGGTGCAATTCAAACCTAGAGAGGGAGGGAGTTTGGGGGTGCAGCAACCCGGTCAAGATGTAGAAGGAGGTCCGTTGCCTAAAAAGTTTGGGAACTGCTGCTTTACGGTATTAGAATGGATGAGCTGGATACCAGACTTCAAGATGGTGCCTTACTATTGGAATGAAAAATGCACACTCACAAACATAAATAAAGCAAATGTGGACAATTACTATTAAATTTACTTAAACAAAAAGGGAAAATAATAAAAATTTCAGTTAAATATTTTCCGGCTCAGTACTTACCACTCGTGTTGACACAAAAATAAACTTTCACTCCAGAGTTTTCACATGAGGTCATATTCATGCGGTCATCTTGTTGAGATGAAGTAACAGCCAGGTGTCGGTCGAGCAGGTAGACAGTGTAGCATTAACAAGGCTGTGTGGTGCCAAAGTCATGTTCCCTGGCAGTGCATCCTCAGTCCAACTTCAGTGAAATGCAGTGTTTGTGTCAAATAGAGACCAAATTCTTTCATCTCACACTGTGTGTGTGTGTGTCCGTATTGGTTTCCCAGGTGATTACTTTGGCATCTTGATGGATGAGAAGGTGACAGGGTTTCCCTTCAACATCACGGAGAACCCGATGTACTGGGGCAGCACTGCCAACTACCTCGGCCTAGCGCTCATGTAAGTATGTGCGTGTGCGTGTGACTGGAAAGGAGGAGAGGTCCCTTTCTTGAATTCATTTGTGGTCAACAACAGTGTAATTGGAGTGTAATGTCTCTGCAGAGGTTTGCCATTAACCATGACATGACGAATCTTTAACACGTAAATACAATTGCGTCAAAATGGCATTCTAAATAAAGCGAGGGCATGCAGAAGCGTAGATAATAAGATGCAACCTGAAAAAGGAAAATGTTGCAAATCACTTCACTCTTGAAAAGGGTAGGAAGGTAAAAACTTTTACGTGTGCCTCGTCTCTATGACAACTGTGACACACATCTCTCAGAGCCTGCCGTGTGTAGTTGTCAGGCCAGCGCTGCAGGGTTGACGAGCCAGCCGCTGATAAAAGCTCCCAATTCTTCCTCACTCAGAGTTACGTGGACACCATCCCTAATTTTACCCCATTATTGTTTCTTCTACCGCTGCCTCAACCTGTACTGCCGTCTTCATCCCTTTGTCCCTGTCTGTTGTTGGCCTCAGGTTCTACAGAAACATAAATAAAAGCTCTGAAAATAGACTTGAGGTTAAACCCGTCACAAGTGAACTGACGCACACGTGCTAATGTGTTTGTGTATGTGTGTCTCAACTGCATAAAGATGTCCAGACCACTTCTCAAAACAAGTTACAAAGTGCTTTAACAAGTGTAAAGACAATAAAACACAAAAACAATACATGATAAAACCAAGAAAACATTGAAGAGACTAAAATACACGTTTAAGATAATATAAAATATATAAAATACAATAAAATAAGAAGGGTCAATATAATCGGGAAAGGCTCTCCTATAAAAGTATGTTTTAAGAAGGGACTTAAAATGCGTAGATAAGCAACTGTTGCTGTTTACCATAGCAATTTAAAAGGTGATAATATATCAGTGTTGTGTTCACCGCCTGTTTCCACTGCCCCCAAGGGGCAAACAATCTGCTATTGCGGGTTTAAAAGTTCAGTACCTTCTTGACTCTGGAAACAGATATTGTAAAAGTCAATGCTTCAAATAACTTGAATATTTACAGTTACACAACAACTGAGAATATTCCATCTGCTGAAAAGAACCAAGGGGTTTGGTCAGAAGCTCTGAGTTGACTATGAGTTAAGATTATTTATTCAAGGGCAGCTTAAAACTTTCAGCCCTTGAAAGTTTTAAAATGTGCATTGTATCCATTAGATGCATTCTTTTTCTTCTCCTTTTATTGTTGAATTGTTACCGTAACGGCACATTACTGCCACCTATTACACTAATGCTCGTACAATGTGCTTTTTTATAAATGCTGGTGAAAAAAAGTTAAACAGGTGCTTGCTCACCAAAACATTGCTGTACAGCGCCACTAGTGGTCATAAACACCATAGGGTGCCTTTAATTTCTACATTTCTCTACCTACTTTAAATATCTTGTTAACTGTTATGTAAAAGCCATAAAACCCCCAAGCATATTCTTCTGTGACTGACAGTTCTGACAGTTCTGATCCTGAAGGACATCTGTCACATCCTCAAAAACACACAAAGAACACACTCCATGCAGATACAACTGAAGAACATCAGAAGGGAAAGAACTTGGGGAAAACACACTGACACACATACTAACTTCCACTCCCACAAGCTCCTCGCTGTGCGAAGCAATCTTTGCCGCACATTAGGCCACTTACTGGCCTCTCTTTGTGACCTAGACAGGAGATTAGCTGACACACATTAGAAGTTGCACTTAAACTACTACATGAACACGAGCTGAACTCATGCTGCTACACAAATAAGATGGGAGCTAAAATTGCTGCATGATGTTGTGCCTTTTTGTGGTTACATATCATGTATTTACGCACATATGTTTTAGGAAAGTAGGTTATGAGAATGGAAAAAGTGGCAAATGTTTATAAAAAAAACATCCATCAGCTGCAGTTCTCCAGTTGAGTTGAAGGATTTAGACATGTTGCACAACTGGCTAAATCCTAATATGTAATATCAGATGAAGCATGAAAAGGGGGAGCACCTGCTCCCTCATCACATCTGTAAGTCTCTGTAAAGTAGTGATGTGCGATACCACTTAATTCCTATACGATCCAATACCAAGTAATACCCAGGGTGGTATCGCTGATACCGATACTTTTTACATATTTTATTTCTAGTTTAATGTGACCTCCCCCCTCCCGTTTCTGTATTTATGAGAGAAATAAGGAGTAGGCTGTAGCCTTACCGATTCAAAATAATAGCTGCATAATGACAAGACATCAAACTACTGTTATATTCTTTAATTATAATGAAAATATCCTGCTCAGAACTGCCACTTCATAACATCATCATATTATTTTGACTTCATCTCAGATGTGTTGCCAAAGTATTTCACTGTCTTTGCACACATCATACAGAGCAACATTATTACCGTCACAGCTAAAATACAGCCAGACGTAACTGCTTTTACAGTCAGCCAGAGTCAGTATTCAATCGCGGAAATGTAAAGTGCTGCAGCGGCTAACTTCAAAGAAGCTCCGTCACAGAGCCGTAGCGCAAGCATGACTTTGACAGGCGGAAAGAAAAGTAGTTCCTATCAACCGAGTATAATTAGACCATCCTGGTGACAAGATACTTATGATAAAACACACACTCACTCCAAATTATTGAGTTTAGATATCGTTCCTTATATATGAGTATCGATCCTAGAGCAGGAAACGTTGGTATCAGAATTTCGATACTTTAGGATTGATCCGCACATCACTACTGTAAAGCACAGTTTGAGACCCACTGATGTGTCATCATCAGATACATTTTGTTGTCCAATACTTTGGTTTATCTCCAAATGCGTGGGAAAATGTACATTTCCGTTAGCCCCAGTTGTACTTTGTGCCGCTGCTTAGTAAATTTTAGCATGCTAACAGGCTAAAAATAAGATGCTGACATTTTACCTAAATATTTTCAGGTTAGCATTGTGATTGTGAGTTTGTGATGTTAGCAGGCTGATGTTAGCATTCAGCTCAATGCACAGCTGTGCCTAAGTTCAGCCCTTAAGACTCTTAAGACTTGCATACACAGGAGGTGTATAAACTGAAGATGTGCTTCTGTTTTAACCAACGCAGCTGTCTACACAAACAGCTAACGATAGATGTTACAATCACACTTTATGTGAGTAACCACAACCCGAGGCAGATTTTTATACATTTATTTAATTGGGGTCTGCATCCTGCTGTACTTCCTGAATGCATCTTGTGTAGAGACTGATAGAGCACTGACCATGATAATTCTTGATAACTTTATGATACACTTAAATGTGACTTCCAGCAGTCTACCATGTTACATAAAATTTCGCGCTGCATCAGCTTTTGTCTTTGTTGTTACATCCAATACATGCATGCATGATTTCCTTTGGATTACTTCCTCCGGGGCCAGACCGCCTGGTATTGCGCCTGGTATTACATTACGTATTTTCTTGATCATAAGTAATATAATCATAAAAAATGTACGTGTAGCCCACAGTTGTCCTGATTTACGACAGCAGTGAATTACACAAATTTTAAAAAACACCATATCTTAGATAATATTGCTTTAAGGTTTATCACTTCAAGCAGCAGTGTAGCAAATGCAAAGAAGCTATTGCTATTGAATGCTGCTCTTCATCATGGACCATTATCATGTGTTGTGCATGTGGGATGGGGCAGTATCTTTGAGCGAGAGAGATCAACAACTCTATGACTTTCAAAAGGTCACTCTCTGCTCCAGGTAAAATCCCTTGGCTATACCCTACCCTGTTGCTACTCAGCTGCAGCTGATAACCACAGTGTGTATACCGTATGTGGAGTTAAGTTATGAATAAATACATCTCAAGACACAGCTTAATTGACAAAGCATATATTCATGGCTATATGTGCTATGATCACAGCTCCTGTGGTAGAGGGATGATTTAGCATTGTATAATACCAGGAGAGCTCTGCTTTTGCTTGTGTTACATTTGAAATCATTTTTTAAAATTACTTCCTTTCTAAAAAGCCCTACAGAGCCCCACTTCACGTATCTATTATATTGGATTTTTTGTTATTATAGTATATGAGCATGTGAATATACCTTTGATGTTCTTTGCTTTTTGTGTATATTGCATTTCCCTTATAATTAAATGTGCTAAAAAGTTTTTTATATTTTCAATTGTCATTCATAATTTTGAAGTGTTTTTCTACCCTTGAATATTTTTCAAGGGAATAAATCAAAACACTGAATTCTCAGATTCCCCTCTGCATTTTCTCCACCTCCTCCAAATGTCCTGTTCTATCTCACTGCATGGCTTCAGCCTGCGTTTGTTCTCAAGTGTAAGGTAGGATAATTGCAGCAGCTTTTCAAATGGAGACACGTGTGGATTTCTTTGTCATTAAGACTCACTCAGTGGGTCGTGCTGTCCTCGGAGCTGTCCTCAATTCTTCTTTGACGAATATTTAAACCTATATGTCTGAGTTCTTATAATAAATTGGAAATAGCTGCCTTCGCCCAGCTATATTAGAAACACATCTACTCCCCTATGGGCCTCATTTGTTCAAAGGTTATTCCAATTATTCAAAATTCAAGCCCCTGATGAAATTTTATACTAAACATGACACATGATCTTTTATATCAGAGGTCACTAATAGGCGGACCGCGGTCCGGATCCGGACCCAGCCGCCGTCCTCTCCGACCGCCGACCTACAGCCCATTTATTATTGAGACTTACTACCTCGTGACGGAGCGTTTCTATTTTAACCCGCGCAGCTTTTCTAGCATTTACTGTACTGGTTTAGAGGACCAGGAAACTCACAGACCAATCGCATGTGCTCCAATCGTCTCATGTGACGCTGCTCAGCCAATCAAATCTGTGCATACCGATGCTTGCGAGTCGAGTCCGCGAGATTCACCAGAGACGTTTTGGAAACACACCCGAATTGAGGACGAAAGATAAAAGAGATTTCACATGACTTTTAATCAAGAATGTACAGATTTTTACATGTACATTCTCCCACGGCAGTTCAAAACCAGAATATCTCATAGATCTCCAATATGCTAGCTGGAGCTCACGTTTCTCACTGAACAACAGAAAGTAGGAAAGTGGTAGCTCTGTAAGAGGAAATGAAAGAGAAGAGGAGGCATTACAGCTGTTCATTTGTTATGATGTGTTGAGTGTTTAAAATAAAATTGGTTAAGACTACACTTCATCACTTCAAGCTACACTTTTTATTAATTTTTTCTAAAAATTAGGCACTTTAGTTTACTTAAATTTAGAATTTATTATTTGAATAGTTATTATTTATTATCCTTCCAGTTTGATGTGAAAACTGACTGAAATATTATTTGATTTGACAGTCCGTTGTTGACTAAAAACATGTGTTGAGCTTTGTATTTATTTTCAAGGTAAACAATCACAACACATGAGGACGGACTGGCTTTTATGTGAAGTGATTATTAATTGTGTCAGTGCTTCAAAGACTTATGTAAAGGAACAAAAGTCTCCTGTTTTCAGTAAACACTACAGATTACATGAACAATTAGAGGATTGGCTATAGCCTGCAAGAAAAACATGTGAATAGAGGTATGCAGTAATAGTGCCTGGCCAGAGGTGGGTATATGCAGGGCAGGCCCTGACAGTGTAGGAGCCCAAGGCAAGATTTTATATTGGCATTATTTTTGAGCATCACTTAATTTCCTGCCTTCTCAGCATCAGTTAATGGTGATAATGTCTTTATTTATTTAAAGGGAAAACACAAAATTCAGGTGACAGCTGAAAATTAAAAAAATTAATAGAGTATAATGCAATAAACCTCTTAGGCAATCTGTAGCTATTGCCTTGTAGACAAACTTTACTCATTTAATAAAATCCCTGTTGAGTCAACACAAATGATTTAGTCTTCCCTCCTTTTAAGTGTCTTTTGTTTGGGGAAATAACCTCTTTAAATGTGCATGTGGCACATTTTCACCTCAATGAGAAATTAATTCATTTTAATGCAGTTAGAAACTCCTGGACTTTAATAGCTCATGTGTTTCAGCAGGTTTTCTTCTCATGTTTAAAACTTCTGCACATTCAGAATATCTCACACGTATCTGTGTTCTCTGACATGTCCAGACGAAGTTGGTAATATTACGAGACTAACGTCATAACGTCATAACTTCATTAGAATTCATAATATTTTTACTACCTGCCCTAATACTTTGCTGCTCATTAGCCTGGGTTATTGCTTGGCTATCAGGCCATCTTACAAACACATCTTACAAACTGGATAAGACAAGCAGGTGGAAATTGAAGCTAAGTGAAACACTTGTGATCAGGCAGAAATCAATACACATATTAACTTCACCACCTTCGACAAATTGCATCTCAGAGTCCCAAACAGAGCAAGCTTGCACCTCAGTTTTTATGTTTCAATATTGCAAAACTACCATACTACTTTCACAATCTGGCTGCAACTCGCTGCAGTTTGCAATAGCGTTGCAACACAAATTAGGCTAACCCTACCTGCTAGCCAGCTAGTTAGCGACCGGAAGCGCTACTAGCACCCCCTGATATTTTGTGCACTAGGCATCAACCTATGTCGCTTATGCCATGTGCCGGCCCTGGGTACACATATATATGGCAGATACCATACACTCTCAGCTCTCTTATGCACCTTGTTTCCAGACTCAGTAGGCAGCTGTTTTTAGCAAAAAAGCCCTGAAATTGTGAGCGAGGGATCCAGAGTTCTACGGAAGAGCAGGGCAGACAGGCAGCAGGGAAGCAGGCAAAAAGAATCCAGGAGGAATGAATTAACGTGAGGCACAGGAAATACAAGGTCAGGCAGGGGCAGAAAGCAACATGAAAAAGGTAGCACAACTAGAAATAGAGCCGCAGGTTGATATACAGCGGAGTCTCATTACTGGATGGAACACAGGTGTGTAGCTACATGCAGCTGGAGGACTACATACAGACAGATGGGGTGCTTATCAAGTCTCTTAATTGCATCCACGTTTCCCTCACTTGCCTCTTTTCCTTAAACCATGTGAGGAAAGAAGAAACGAATGGAAATATGTTGAAATGAGACATCCTTTCCTCCACGTGAAGCAACATCCATTTCTGATGACGGCGGCAGCTGATCACAGCTGGATCAGCCGTCAGTCAGCTCTAACAGCTGTCGAGACTTTTAATGGAGTTTGTGTCTGCACATATGTGCACTGTGCTAATACTAATGAAGTCTCACAGTTAAGACTCCAGAGCAGCATGATTTCTCTCTCAAGCTGTTACCTGACAAACACCTGCACATGAATAACAACCTGCATTCTGCATTTACACTGTGTACTGTGTCCTGCTCAGAGGAATAGGAGTTGTTACTACTGGCAGAATGAGTTTATATTATTTATTCATTATTTTCATCTGTATTTGTTGATATTCAGATTGTGAATTGAATAACCCAGAATATGATCATGGTGTCTTTTGAACATTGGAAATGATTTATTAGGCTAAATGCCTTTGGTGTGAATAGATACGACTGTTCATGTTTGCCTTTTGTGTCTTCATTTTACAGCTTCTGACATTTATCTGTAGACATTAATATAAAAATAGGCAACATGAGAAACCTCCTCCCTTCTGAGGTGCATTTTATTTGCACATTAAAATCCAAAAAGAAACGTCTCTTCATTTGCTTAAAAGGACTATTTTGCATCACTAGTTAGCTTTACTAACCTCAGCTCCTCCAGTCACCTCCGTCCTTTCTTTTCCAAAACCACTTTTTCAGGCTGAAAACTGAAAAATAATTGAATCAGTATTTACAGGACAGAGCTGCAGGCTACGTCAGTTTAGTCGAAGTTTGTACCCGATGTTCTCAACATTGGACAAGTAGGCAGTAATAAAATACAGCTTCCAGTTTCTATAAATTGAGCTAATGTTAAGTTACATAGCAGCTATGTAGCTGCTAGAAGCTGCTAGAAGCTGCTCAGCTGCGCGGTCTGAAGGGGAGATGTTAGCTAACTTAGCGCTAACCGGCTTCACTTTTCCAGCAGGTGGGAAACAACAGACTTTTCTTGGTCTTGAGAAAAATACATTTACTGCCAGAATATTTTCCTCCGCTCGCTTTCTGCCGCTCTGACAATCAAACACTCGCTGCGCGCCTCCTGATTCAGAGTTACGCTGCTCTTAAAACACCATCTGTCACGTATGTTCTGCATAGAACGAGGAGACGAAGCGAGCCGAGCATTGACTGATGCCGTGCTGCACAGTGAAAACATTTGTAGCGCATAGTTTAATGATCGTGGGCAGCGGTGCGCCGCTGCTGAATGCATATAGAGGAAACCCTGATATTCCTGCCGACCATGGGTGTGCATTGAAGCAGTTTTCCATACAGATTTAGATAACAGCAACCACACTTACAGACGGATGAATATCCACTGACAGTTGTTCTATCTATCTATGGATCACACGATTGTAAGTTTGATCATCACATCATATAACAAATCATGTTAAGGATCCCTTATCCAAAGCATTTAGAGGAAAACCAAAGGGCTAACATACAACACACCAGTTACCGTAAAGAAAGGCACTACTTCTTTTTTCTTCAGGGGAGAGCTGTGTTACTCTGATAAATGGGGATTATTATCCAATTTGGCACAAGCAAGTCAGCCAATGGTCTGACCAATTTCGGTACTGTCGTTTGTAATATGGGTCAGTGGTAAATAGAGATTACCGCACTAGGTCGACTGACTCATCATTGTGTCAGATTTGTGTGTCACATACAGTGGGCCTCACTGGAGCCAGTGTTGTGTGTCAGATTTTCAAGTTGGCGAAAGCCATGAATCGAATGTAATCACAGTTGTTACTGAACTGACACAGAAATCTGAGGTCACGAGAGGACTGCTCTAAGACTCGACAGTTTTGTTCCCATTTTCCTGCCATCAACATACAGTACACTATGGACTGAAAGGAGTGAGAAAAGTCCAATGTTACAGAGAACGATGTGGAGGAGGGAGCATCCTTAAACTGATGAATGAGACTCAGCAGTGGCTACTGTCCAGCACAGTAACCTGTGGAAATGGACACAATAGTGCAGGCAATGTTAGGTTAAAACCGAACATTGCCTGCACTATTGTGCAAGACTGAGGACCGGGGTGCGGATACAGAACACTCAAAGCCCGTCAAAGTAAAGAGTTTATTCACAAAGGACTAGTACAAAATGATAGTGGGTGAGATGTGAGCAGGGGCAGGCAGTCCTGGGCAGGGGCAATCCGCTCTCCTAGAGATCCTCCAAGCAGGGCAAATGACAGCGGACTCGGCAACTAGAAAAAGGAGATAAACAAAAACATTAATCTGGGTTCAGGCAGAGACACACTGGAAACAGACTAAATGCTCAGGAAACAAGCTGGCCTGAAGTACTCAACCAAGTTACGGCTAGGAATAATCTGGCGACGAGTCTCAGGGAGCCCCACATCTTAAGACCAGGTGTAGATGAGGATTGGCAACAGGTGTGTAGCCTTGCCGGGCGACCAGCTCCCTGCCAAGGGAAAGACACACCTACACGCCCACAGAACACCACAGGAAAAGAAAACAAAGGAAGCAACCTCCAACTGTCACAGGACCAACTGTGACAGGCAAAATATGAAATCCCTGTTTCAGGGATTGCAAACAAATAGGAAATGTCAGATTTGGTGTCCAAATCAGAAATTAAAGACTTCTCTCTATCAAAAATTCTATCAAAAAGTACTGACCTGGTATTTTAAATCTCCAAAAAGCTCCCAGTGTGCCTGTGTTCATGCCCCCCATGCAGTCCCATTTTCAGTGGCTCCTGTGGTCTTCAAAAAGGTCAAAGGCAGGTCAAAATAATTGAAAAGTAAAAAAGGAAAGTAATTTTTGAAAACCACAAGTAGTGCCAAACACTTCACCTGACCTGGTTTATGGTTCCCCAGGGAGAAAAGCAAAATAGTGCATTCCAACTTTGGGCATTACACTGTGAGTGCAATTTTAAGTTAGGCCAAAGATGATCACAATTATAGACTAACTAACAAAGAAATCAGCCTGGAATTGCCTCCTAATCCATTAAAGGGTCAGTTCACCCAAATTACAAAAATATATTTTTCTTGCTATCCTCAGTGGTACCTTTCCATGCAGATAATTTTGGGTTTTGCACAGTTAACTGTGGGAAATTGGAGTCTTAAATAGCAATGTTTAGGTTAGCATCCCCCATGAATTAATCTGTGAAGAAATTACGTAGAAACTGGATTTTCAAAATTAACATATATGTGTTTCTCAGTTTGCATCAAAGTGGTGGTCTGACAGACCAACTTACCAACATTGCTGCCCACGGTACCACGCTGCTAGCTAGCTAAAGAGCTCTTTTTCCAGGGCATTGGCAAATGTCTCATTTAAAATGTCCTTTAAATGTTATTACTACAATTGAACCATAGGAAGACATTGATTTTTATATTTTAGCCTTAAAAACCTCTGGAATACCAAACTGGACTCTGTATTCTGTTGCTTCCATTATTGATGATGATGGCAGTGGTACACTTGAATATGTATCATGGTGAGAAATGTATAAGGTGACACAACGTGCAGTCCAGAACACACATAGTTTTTATACTGAACATGCGAAATGTGTCTTCAGTGATTTCAGATAATAACTTTTTATTGCTCCACATGAGAGGGCTTTTAGTCCATCACTTTTTTACTTAATTATGTCCACTTTATTAACTCCATCGTGCAAGGCTATATGCACTTCTGAAATGAAATGAAAGTATGCCCACCTGTTTTTTTCTCTTCATAAAATAAATCTGTGTCACTATGTCACTCGATCACGTATATGTAGGTCAGTGTGCTGTGTGTGTTCATTTTCCCCCACAAGGACGAACTACAGGGTAAACCATTTGTTAAACTCAGTTTTAAAATTGGTCTTTTTAAAGGGTCTTATATTTGACTTTACTACTTTATTTATCACTGACTATATCCTCAATCAATCACTTCTTTAAAAAATCCAGTTTAACTCCTCTTTGTTCTTCGCTGGCAGTCAGGGAGCTGATTTTTTGCTTCAGTCCAGCAGTTGTATTTCTTTTGTATATAGTATATTTCCCTAATACCCCTCATCTGTTTGAGACAGATGGCCTGAATCGGTTACTTCACTGAGAAGTGATTCACTTATCCAATACATATCATGTTATACACACAATATATAACCTAACCCATCCATCCTGCTCTTTTCAGATTCAGATTCAGCCTTGGTATCTTCTTGATGTTTAAAGAATTCTGCCATTAAAAACCTGAACATTACAAATAGCCTTGGCATACCCCTTGTTTTCACAAAGTAGATACTTTTAAGTCCTATTTTAATTTACAATTTAAGTCACATGATGACATACTCATAAATATTATCTGAACTGAAAAGCCACTTGCGTCTAATGTTTGCTGAAAAAATGTAATCCATGGTGATATGTTCTAGTAATATACAAATTAACAGTTGTTCGGTTTAGCTTTGTTTCCTTCCCCTTTAACAAACTCCCCCAGTAACCATTAACTCTCAATACATAGTGGGTGTATTCCTAACTCCCTGTATATCATATTATTAAAATGTCAACTTATAAGTTGACATTTTAACTTTTTTAACTAATGCATACCTGAATATTTTCAGCTGTAACCTCTCTTGCTATCTTCTCAGAACCCCCAATGCTTCACATACACACAACATAACAGATATCACAAGCCTATCAAAGTTGGTAAATCAACATAGCTCAAGAGGCATGTTCAGCTCCTTACAGCCAAATGAACTAAATCAACAATTGTAATTATATACAGCACCCCAGGTATTTAAAACCATGAACAATTTCGAATTCACCATGACAGAGGAATTGATAGTTCCACACATCAGTTTTATGGTGGCCAAATATTTTAACTTTTTCAGCACCAGAAGTTTTGCTACTATTTATACTCAACTTCCATTTTTACAAAAACAACACGTTTATTAATCGCTTTTTGAAGTCCTTTTGCTGTAGCCATAATGATAGGGTCATCTGCATACATACATACATACATACTAAACCATGAGTTTAGTATAATAAATAATATAGTAATGTAACTCTAACTCTAATGTAACTCTCTCCCTCTCTCTTCAGTGGTGCCAGTCCTGTTGGTCTCGTCCTGACTGCCATAGTAGCTGTGGCTTATAAGGTGGCAATAAGATTTGAGGGGTAAGTATTATGCACCCCGACACAGTGAAATCTATCACTCATCAGCAGTTTGAAACAGCAGGGGACCAAAATTCCCTGTTGAATTCCTATATAAACTCTTGTAACGCTATGCGTCTATCTCCCCACAAACTAGTGCTCCTCATGGGTACTCTAGATTCCTTGTAAGCAAGACTCAACTCAGGACCCAAGGCCAGGTCCAAATTATATTCAGTCTGATTGGGTCTTGGGTCCCTTGAATTGCTACAGATCTTGGTGTGTCAATATGTCTTAGGCCTGTACTTGTCATTTCACATGTCTCAAATCCCGAAAAATCCAGATGTGATTTGATAAATTTTTGTAATGCCAAGCCACATTTATGTGTGTCCGTTGGCCATCACAAATCTGATTGCATCCATCTTGGTTTTCCGGGTTACACACAAATCTCTGTAAGCCCAGAACGCCCAGAGAGTGGTGGGAACGCACCTGACACTGTTTGGTAACTGCCAAAATAGATGAACTTGAGCACTTTATCAGTTAGTTACGACTATGAGCTGTTAGCGTAACAGCTACCTAGTTATCAAACACACATCCACAAATACACAATACGGTCTAAGAATGAGACAGGCATCATCTTCACAGGCCTTCATTCATGCCGCTTGCTCACCTATGCAGATCATTTAGTGGTTGCACTGATCCGGGATCAGATAAATGCTACAACAGCTAGCTATCTGATCATCCCAAGATGTATGAAGTGACTAAGTGTAACTTATTTAAATTCTGGAGTAAATTTGTTCTGAGGATATGCCACTTAAACCAAGCCATTAGGAAAATGACGTACCATTCTACTCCCAACCCTTTTTCCTCCTCTCGTGTTTTATTTTCATCTCCATTTATTAAGCACAATATTTATTCATTTTGCCAAAAGCTGAGATGGACAAAAAGGTAGAGGTGAACAGATTTTTTTTCACCCGTTAAAAGCCTTGTTGGTCAGCCTCATGGTCAGTTATGAGCGACCTACTTTTGGTCATCTGTTTGTCTGTGTGCAGAAATACACACACCCGCATGCACACAGAAATACACAAACATGCTGCGACTGCATAAGCCAGTCACAAATGAGACAGAGCTCAGTATGAAAGCACTGCTGTGTGCACTTGTTCATTAAAGCTAGAGTGTGTGTGTGTGTGTGTGTGGGGGGGGGGGGGGGGGGGTACACGCATGTCATCTTCAGAGCAGGTGTATAGGTTTGTTTGTTTGTATGTACCTGTGTTAACTGTGCAGCTGTCCTTTGCATTATATGTACAGAACCGGTAAGCAGCATAAAAGCATATGATTCAAATGTGCAACAATGGAACACATATGCAAATGGTTATACATAAACACATCATACTTTGTGCTAACTCCTATATTGAGACGCTGTAATAAGAACACAAACAAAAGATTCACCAGGATAGGAGTAGCAAGACACATGATGGAGAATGGTAGATACGTCACAACTTACTGACCTACATTCATCACATACAAAACTCTCAAGCAGACACACGCAGTATGTTTACCAATCCAAATTCAAATCAGCAAATTACATCTGACAAGCTCTTTTTGTACATTTCCTACCTCATTGAGAACGTTGTTTTTTGTTTTATTCACATCTTCACTCATATTTCTTCTGCTAAGTGACCCAGTGTTGGAAGGAAAAGGTTCAGCTAGCTTTGTCTTTCAGAATGGCTTCATTTGCCCATAGA